ATTTAAAGATATTACAAATAGATAAATATTAAAAATAATTTATAGTTTTTGTCTTAAGAAAATTACAAATTTTGTTTATAATTTTTGCGGGTCAAAAATGGGACAATAAATTTCAAATAATGTTTATCATTATGTAAGTTATTTTTTAAGGTAAGGAATTGTGAAATGCCCCATGTGATACTAGTAGACCCGTACAAACTACGTTCAGCAGTCCTTCACTCGGTAAAGTACTACTCCGGCAGATGTCATTCATTAGTAAGGAATACAGTCGTCGTGCAGGACGGGATTCCCGGTTCCCATGCCATGGCTCTCAATTCACTCCAAAGTACAAGAAGAGTAAGTAAGTAATCGGCCCCATACACCACCCCTTCATCACACTATGCTCTATTATTTCCTCGACGTTTGCGCCCTTGTCTGCGCACTTGCATGCATACGCCAGCTGCGGGCATGGCGCAGACAGAGAAAGCCCTTTCCGCCTGTCCCTGGGCCGAAAGGTCTTCCCCTCCTCGACAACGTATTCGACATGCAGGAGGAAGAGATATGGGAGACCGCACGGAAGTGGGGGGATGAGTTCGGTATGTCAATTTGATACCTCCTGTCCAAAAGGTTTATTGTAATATCCTACATGCCAGGCCCACTGGTCCAAGTTAAAGCTTTCGGGGAGACATTTATCTTTGTGAACTCTTACCAGGCAGCGGTCGACTTGTTTGAGAAGCGTGGGAGCATGTATTCTTCACGCCCCCAAAAGGTTATGATAGAACTGTTTGTACTTTGTTCTCCTCACCAACACCATTTATTGACTTACTAAATCCCCTGCACTACTCTCTACAGTCAAGGTTGGGAATGGTTTGTCCCCCTTATGCAGTACGGAGACGAACTGCGAAGAGCGAGGCAACTGCTGCATCGGTTTCTTCAGCCAGTCATCATGAGAGGCTATACTGAACTACAGACACAATCAATGCATAGGATGCTGAGGAGATTGTTGTCAAGCCCGGATAAGTTCCCAGAAATACTTCGGCAGTAAGTTCTCTTTCACAGATCATAATGGTTTCACTCCATTCTTTTTTGATCGTTCCTTTCTCTCAGATGCACAGGAGAGACAATTCTGATGCTCACCTATGGTCACAAAGGTCTAGCAACACACTTCTTATTAAATTTGTTGACTGACAGACAGATTGAGCAGCACAGGAGAAGGATGATCCGTACATAGCCATTGCTGAGGAAGGTCTTGCTGCTGCCGCTGAAGCAGAGGAATTCTATCTGGTGGATGTTATGCCCGTGTTGCGGCACATACCATCATGGTTTCCTGGTGCTCAATTCAAGAAAATCATTGAACAAGGTCAGAAAGCATCTATGGCTTTGTATCACGAACCGTACAAGGTAGGAAAGGCAAAAGTCGTAAGTCACACATTATTGCCGAACGAGGTAATGCAACAACCTAACTGATGTACAAGGTGGAAGGAACAGTGACCCCTTCAATACTTGGAAAGTTGTTTGAAGCATATTCAGCGGGGGATAAGATCGTAAGCAGTGAGGACATGATCAAAAAGGTGACGGGTGTTTTGTACGCAGGTAAGTGTTGTTAGACTGTAGCCACTGACCACATAACAACACTTATGGTAATGACTCGGAATTATAGCTGGAGCAGATACAGTAAGCTGAATACAGCTTTATACCGAATATTGTTTGGATTTCGAAGTTTAAATTTTAGTCGGTTGCTGCTTTGCACTCATTTTTCTTAGCAATGCTATTGCATCCGGATGCCCAGAAACGAGCACAAGAAGAACTTGACCGCGTGCTGGGAAAGGACGCCCTCCCCACGTTTAATGATCGCCCGAACCTACCTTATGTCAATGCAGTCATCAAAGAATCACTAAGGTATGCAGAGGTATTAGAATACATTCTGTTATCTTATTAGTATCAACAGGTGGCAAGCTGCTACACCTCTCGGTCTGTCCGCTCATATTGTCCGTCTTGACCCACATTAAGACTATGATTGAAGCTGTGGCTCACACTGTTGAGGAGGATGACGAATACAATGGCTATTTCATTCCGGCAGGCGCAACGATGTTTCCAAACGTCTGGTCGGTTTCGTGCTGTTTCTTACAAGGTGTTAAAGGTCTGACATATCCATAAAGGGCAATGCAGCGAGACCCAAAGGAATATCCGGAGCCGGATAAGTTCATACCCGATCGCTGGCTACCTAATGACGGTAAAGAGGCCCCGCGAGATGTATTTAGAACTTATTTCGGATTTGGGAGACGGCAAGCTTTATGCACTTTCCTTTTCTTGCTGATTGTTCAATATTCCTGAATAGGCTTTGTCCTGGGCGTCATTTTGCAGATAATACGGTAGGGCTCAAGAGTCCAAAGCCTGTTCAAGTGAGTTAATAATCTCCTGCAGCTCTTTATAGGAGGTGCATCGATTCTTGCAGCATTCAACATCACAAAGGCTCTTGACGAGAATGGGCTTCCAATTTTACCCAAGCCTGAATATACATCTCGTTTCCTCAGGTCCGTTACTCTATATCTCTCAGATGTGTGTGACCATAGTCTAAATTTTCAGGCAGGCACCCGAAGCCATTCAAGTACGTTTTGGAGCCGAGATCCGAGAAAATCGAAGCTATCATAAATGAAATTGCTGTGTTTGAAGAGTAAAGTGTATTGTAACAAAGTTTCTACTATGCATTTATGTTACAATTGTTAAAATAAATATAAATATAAATATTGAATTGAATTGCTACTGACTCTGTAACAAGTAGAACACATTATAACAATTATCAAAGTTTTGTTACAAATATTGTTTTGTTTACTATTAGTAAATTTTGTTAGGGTACAACATTATCAGTATATACAGTATCAGTCAGATGCCAAACCAAGCTTGACATTGCACCCTTTTGGTGTAGATGTTCTGTTTATGACTGACTACATATAGTAATCCCTTACACAAACTAGTTAGATTAATAATAGTTAATATATAACTAAAATATTATTTTATTTCTTAGTTTATACACTTTGTCTACTTGTTAGTTTAAAAGTATTACATAGTAGAGAAGTTTCTTTTAATACAAAAGAGCTTATACAATTGTTTCATAAAACTAGTATTAAACTATAGTCTTTAATAATACTATATATAAAATTAAAAATAATTATCAACTTCTTATTTATTACCCTATAAGAAACTATAACTGTTGATAGTACAGTATAAGCTGTATAAGCATTACACAACAGTCCTGTTGTTAGTACGTTCATAAAATTAATAACATGAATGCAGTATATACTTCAATTACTTCTTTGGTGATTGTGGGGTGAGATTGTTGGATTTGGATTTTGGAAGACGCGAGAATCACATGACCTGCTCTTTACAGGATAGTGGATCCGCACAAACAACGTTCAATTCTTCTTCACTTGGTACAGTACTACTCCGGGACAAATGTCGTCCCCTAAGCAAGGAGACAGCCGCCGTGTAGAAAAAAGTCCCGGTTCCCATACTTTGGCTCCCAATTAACTCCAAGGTACAAGAGTAAGCTAGTAATCCGCGCCATGCATCACCCCTTCATCACACTATGCTCTACTATTTCCTCGACTTTTGCGCCGTTCTCTGCACTCTTGCATGCATACGCCAGCTGCAGGCATGGCGCAAACAGAGAAAACCCTTTCCATCTGTCCCAGGGCCAAAAGGCCTTCCCCTGCTTGGCAACGTATTTGATATGCAGGAGGGAGAATTATGGGAGACTGCACGGAAGTGGGGCGAGGAATTCGGTATGCCATTCTGGCCTCTGCCACCCTAATATATTCTCCTGATATATCAAATTCCAGGACCATTGGTTCAAGTCAACGCTCTCGGGGAAACGTATATCTTTGTGAACTCTTACCAGGCAGCAGTCGACTTATTTGAGAAGCGTGGGAGCATTTATTCTTCACGGCCCGGAAACGTTATGTTAGAACTGTGCGTTGTCCTCAATGACGCCATTCGCTGGTCTTCTGAATATCCGAGGCTATTCTCTACAGTCAAGGTTGGCGCTGGTTTATCTCTATTATGCAGTACGGAGACGAGCTGCGAAGAGCGAGGCAACTGCTACATCGTTTTCTTAAACCGGCCACTGTAAACGACTATACTGAGTTACAGACGCAGTCAGCCCGTAGGATGCTCAGAGGGCTGCTAGTAACTCCGGATAAGTTCCCAGAACTTCTTCGGCAGTATGTACTCCATTGGTATGCCTCACAAGAGTATTCACTCATTTCTTTATCAGAAGTGCAGGAGAGACAATTCTGCTGCTCACCTACGGCCACAAAGGTTTGGAAATGCACGTCTTCTCATTTTTGTCAACTAACAAATATATATATATATAACAGTTCAAGATGAGAATGATCCGTACATAACCATTGCAGAGGAAGGTATTGCGGCTGTTATTGAAGCGGAAGAATTCTATCTGGTGAATGCCATTCCTGCGTTGCAATACCTACCATCTTGGCTTCCTGGTACTGGCTTCAAGAAAGTCATCCAACATGGCCAGAAAGCATCTACGGAGTTGTATCACGAGCCTTACAAGATGGGAAAGGCCAAAGTTGTAAGTCTTTCAGAACTACCACCGAACGAGCTGATGCGACAATCTGATTGATCCTTATAAGGTGGAGGACAATGTCACCCCTTCGATATTGAGCAGGCTGCTTGAATCATATTCAGCAGGAGATAAGGTCATAGGTGACGAGGATATGATCACAAAAGTGACAGGTGTTTTATATTCGGGTGAGTGTTGCTATTCCAGTGCCATTATGCAGGGTATTACTACTAATTATCCTGAATAATAGCCGCAGCAGACACAGTAAGCTTAATGTTTTCCTGCACATAACGTTTACTGGATTTGAGAAATTGAATTTCAGACAGTTGCTGCCCTGTACACATTTTTCCTCGCAATGCTATTGTATCCGGACGTCCAGAAACGAGCACAAGAAGAACTTGATCGCGTGCTAGGGAAAGACACTCTTCCGACATTCAATGATCGACCAAACCTACCCTATGTCAATGCGGTCATCAAAGAATCACTAAGGCACGTGGAAATATTAGAAATGTTTCGTTAGCTAATTAGTATCAACAGGTGGCAACCTGCTACTCCTGTCGGTCGGTCGGTTCAGATAGTTTGTCTAATTCTGTGCTAAGAGTATAATTACAGCCCCAGCTCACACTGCTGACGAAGATGATGAGTACAATGGTTACTTCATTCCTGCTGGTGCAGCAGTATTTCCAAATATCTGGCACGTTCAATGTCATATATCATGAGATGCTAACAGACTAAGACATCCACATAGGGCAATGCAGAGGGACCAGAAGGAATACCCTGAGCCGGATAAGTTCATACCTGATCGTTGGCTACCTACGGGCGGCAAAGAGGGCCCAAGGGATGTACTCAAGACTTACTTCGGATTCGGGAGGAGGTGTGTTTTATATTGCCCTTTTTGTAGCTAATTATTCACTTTCTTTGAAAGAATTTGTCCTGGGCGCCATTTTGCAGATAATACAGTACAGATCATTAGTTTACATCCGATCAGTGATTAACCGCTCTGCTACAGATATTTATAGGCGGTGCATCGATTCTAGCAGCATTCAAAATTACAAATGCTCTTGACGAGAATGGGCTTCCAGTTCCACCCAAAGCCGAATTCGTGCCTCGTTTCCTCAGGTCCGTTACTTTATGTCTCTCAGATGTGTGTGACACCATAGTCTAAATTTTTTGGACAGGCATCCCAAGCCATTCAAGTACGTTTTGGAGCCGAGGTCTGAGAAGGTCAAAGTTGTCATAAGTGAAACCGTTGAGTTTGAAGAGTGAAGAGTGTTGCAATAATATCTGCACTATGGACGTTTGTTATAATTACCAAGGAGACGTTTAAATTGCTGACCTTGTAGTAAGCTGAACATATCCTGGGAAAATTGTCAGATTTCACTGTGAAAACTTCTGTATTTTGTTATGATTTTACCTCACACTACTCCCTTTGGCAAGAATGACTGTATTGTATCATATCAGCCCTCTAACTGCTTCAAACAGCTAATGTGTGAGTGTTCCTTGCCTTGTCCTGTATTAAAGTTGCAAGTTATTAATGTATCAGTCCTCTGAGTAATCCAAGGTTCATGTACTATAATCATTTATACAGTATACTATCAGACTGAAAAGGGCTGCAAACCATGCATTGTCAGCCTTACTAGTCTGTTGTTCTATAAAATTCATCTCATAAAATGTAAAGTAGGGTGTAGAAGCATGAATCTTGCTTCACACAGGTAGATGGTTCTTAGACAGTATTATCTAACATTCCTGAATATAGACATCAACCAAAACATTCTAACAACTCTCTTTTCCAAGGTAAAACCTGTCCCTTGTCTGTACTTTTGCTCTCAAAGAAAAGTAAAGCTATAGGTTTGAGCAAATGTTATAATCTTTTCAGACTGTTTGTAACTCAATTAAAGCAGCCTTTAGAACAATATACACAAGGAGGTAAATATCTGTCTTCTTCTAATGTCTCTTTAGCACTATTAAGGACTAGTATCCCTAACCTGTTTCTCAGGCTGTACTTCTCAGCTATCTTAAACTGAAAACCTTATGAGTGTACAACTTTCCAGAACAAGAATGTGAATTAAACTCTTATAGGAGAAGTAAAACAGAAGGTAAGAGTTGTAACTAAATTACTCAAGGAACTATAGTCTAGAAGACTTACAGGTTGTCTAAGCTCACTAACATTCCTTAAACTTCTGAGGCTTGAAGATCAAGAAGAAGAAAAAAAGAAGGGTTGATTTTTTATAGTCAAGACTACTATTTTCCTCTTCCTTTTCCTTTGTTACATTTTAGTTTCAAGAGTACTCATAGAATCCTTCAAGATCAGTTATAACTGTATGAATGTTTGTTAGTACTATACTTACAGCTGTCTTTACTAGTAATGTCTTCTTGTGTGTGACTAACATGTTTGGGTTGTCTTGTTTTACTGTGTAAAGGGTGATGTCAGCAACAGTGTAGAGGGGACCTGAAGGCTCAGTAAGGGGACCCAGGCTACAACTATCCTACACAACAGAAATACAGAATGCAAGCACTGGAATGTAGTCAGAACTTGCAGAACAGGCAGAGAGAGAGAGTGAGACAAGAGTAGGGTATATAGAGTGAGCCTAAGAGTACAGGACTACCTGGAGTAGACAAGATCAAGACTACAGGACCAGTCTGATCTTGTACACCTATATATACTAAACTACACAAGAGTACTCAGGGAGCATGAGCCACTAAGAATGATGAGCCACAAAGAATGAAAGAAGGAAT